TAAATTAATAAGACTTAGGATAGCTTAAGGATGCCAAAAAGCAGGCTTAACAGAAGACATTTGGGACAGTAAAAGGAAAATAGAAATTAAGAAGTTTTGAAAGAACAACCTAGTCTGTTGAACAATAGCTAAAGCAAAAGAAATAAGAATGAACATCAAGGCAGAAAACCCTTGTGGAAGGTTTACAGACATGATAAACAGATAAGAGACATACTAGAAACCAAAACATAGATAGCAAGCAGCAGCATAATAAATGAATAGGGGTTGTTATATGTGAATCAACTCATAGATATGAAAAGTAATAACTTGGTTACATGGAGATAGCTTAAAAGTCTTCAAGGTTTGTCATGTAAAGAAAAGAAAGCTAAGTGGTTTAGTGAAATAGAAGAAAAGATGTTAAAAGTACAAGTAAGCAGAGAAATACAAGATCAATACAAAACAAGAAGCTACAATATGCAAGCACTAAAGATTAAGTAGACAAAGATGTCTAAAGACTGAAGAAAAAAAGAATAGATTGTTTATGAACCAAATCATGATCGACAAGTAGGCAAAATAATTAAGAAGAAAAAAAAAAAGTGTTAACAGAGTATTGGATAATGCATATAGAAGAAGGAAGGACATCAACAGAATTAAGTATATACAAAGGTTGTGAAAACAGTTTAGAACAAACGAAAGATAAATGCGAAAGATAAATAAGACAAGACCACAATATGAAGGTGATACCAGAGTTGCTAATAGAGAAGACTAACAATAGAATAAATGCAACATCAGAGCAGATACTAGAAGATAGAATAATATAAAAATGGAAAAGAAATAAAATGAAGTTACTAGAAATAAGACAAACAGAAAAATTAGAACTAGAACTGATTAGAAAACAAGGATTAAATAGCATAATTACAAAACAGTTAGTAGAGATATTGATATGAAACAAGAAGAGAGACAAAAGAAAATACAGCTTCTATACTAATAGAGCATTGTATAAGAAGAAAGGAAAAAACAATACAGAAAAAATAGATATCGACTGAATACAAGTAGAAAACAAAGAAGACTGGCCAGAAGAGAAAATTGCATTAGGACTGGAAGGCTGGCCTTCAGCAACAATAGCAGAATTAGCAGCAATATGAGTAACAATCTTAACAGTATTAGAAGAAAAAAGCATAGAAGTGTTTACAAACAGCATAGCAGTATTAAGGAACATTAATAGTATACTTTAATATGTAAAAAAAGAAAGAATCTTGAAAAAGAAAAACATAATATGGATAATAAATATTTTAGATCTAATTAAGAATAAGAACATTAGGATAGAAATAATCAAGGTTAAAAGTCATAGCAGAAATAAGTAGAATAACAAAGTAGACACTCTTGCAAAAAAAAGAGCAAAATACCAAAATGAAATATGTGCAAATAAAGTCAAATGTGATAGGATAGAGTACTATTTGAAGTGGGAAAACAAGAAAATTGATATATCAGCAAGACTTTTGTGTAAAATAATAGCAAATGCCAAAATAGAAGCTAGTTGAAGAGAGACAAACTCAATATGGATACTAGAACCAGAAACAGAAAATGCACTGCATAATTGGTTGAGTTTTTGAAAAGAAATAAATAGAACAAAAGAAGTTTATTGTACATCAAGAAAACTCAGCACAAGAAGAGCCACAGCAATCAAGTGCATAATGGATAGCCTACCAACACTTGAGGAGCTAAACAGAAGAAGACCAGAAGTATACACAACAGCAGAGTGTCAAGTATGCCAAGTTGGAGAAAAAGAGACTCAGGCATATCTAGCAAGTTGTAGTGAACAAAAGAGTTTGTAGAAGTGAATTCAGAAAGTTGCAACAGTGATAGCATGAAATGGACTCAAGGAAGAAGAGAAAAATAGAATTCCACTACAAGTTCTTTATAGAACATTATTTGGAGAAACATAAGCAGAAGAAATTGCAAATAGAAAAGTGCTAATAAAAGGACTCACAATACTAAAAGTAGAAAAAAGATTAGAGCAACTTCTAAGCAAGCAAGCAACACAGAAGTGCATAGATATAGTTATAAAAACAGTATAGAACACCTTCTATGACCAAGTATGAAGAGTGCAATGTAAAAAAATATAAGCTTGAAAGAAGAAGATCAATATAATGAACAAAATGAAAAAGGATGCTCATGTAAGAGTAAAACCAAAGAAGAAGATAAAAAAAGATAAACAAGCTAAAAAAAAAGAAAAAGAAAGGAAAACAAAAAAGGCAGACCAAATGAAGAAAGAAGCTTTAAAGACAATAAATATGCTTGTCACAGAAGAGAGAAGACCCTTCTAGTATGGCTTTAAGTAGTTAGATGAGCAGTCTATCTCTAACTAGGATAGTGCGACAGGTTGCATTTAGGCACCATTAGGATGGCTGAGTGATGCTAGACTTGAATATTGGGAAATTCTATGTAATTGTATATATATATAGTTTTAAGAATCATAATAAAGTACTAGCATAACTGCTTAAGGTTAAAAAAAAAAAAAAAAATATTATTATTATTATTTTTTTTTTAAACTTAAGTAGTCATACTACATCAGCAGAATAAATATGTGAAATATTGCAAAAGATATTGCATACTAAAAATCTTTTAAAATAACTATGATTGATACAAAATTATTTCAAAATAAAATAATTTCACAATATTGCAAAAAGAATGAAATAATTTGAAAGATTTTTGGATCTTTTACAATAAATTTAAAAATTAATAAAAACTAAAAATGAAATTATATTTTAAAAAATAATTTGAAATATTTTGAACATATCAAAAATATTTCGAAATATTTCGAAAGATCAAAAGATTTTTAAAATATTTCAAAAATTATTTCAAAATAATTTCAAAATATTTTAAAAAATATTTTGAAAGTTATGAAATAATTTTATTGATAAATTTATTTTATTTTATTTGAAATATTGCTATTTACATATACACAGTGTCTCTCGATATAATAGATCATCAATATAATGGATATTGCTTAGTACAGAAAATTTTAATAGAACCAAATTATTATTAATAAAATTATTTTAATATAACAGAGATTAATAGTATTCTTGTGATATAATTTATAATGGATTTTAGCTTAAAATTACTAAATGCTAATACAATAAAAAATTATTTGATAAACTAGATTTTATTATTTATAGAAAAACATTCATATGATTGGTTAATTTTTGTAAATTTACCTGTGGATACATGTGACTTCCTGTGACAATCAACCAATTAGAGTACATAATTGTTAAAAAGATTTATTATTTTACAACTTCAAAGAAGCTTACAAATTTATGAATACATGCCAAATAAGTTAAAAAAATGATATATATCAGCTAAACTTTAACTTATGGTTGACAATCCAAACAAATTATAGCATTACAAGAGACTAAGCCCAGATCTTCTGCTAAAAGCTTGTATCCATTCAGTTATCTGGGCAATTGATTTATATATGAACACCCAAAAATGTCACTTATATATTCATACTATAGTGCAAGAAATTTAAAACTCTCAATATCTCTATATAGAAATAATGCATAAAGTGGTAGTATCTATCCTAATAACAATCTTTTTACATAGAATTATACACCAAAAATAATATGTACATATCTAATAGCAACTATTTTATGCATACTTCTGAAACTTAAAATAAGCTGCTGCTGATTTTAGCTTATCTCTAATTAGTGATAGGAAAAATATGCATTTTATAATAACATGCATATGAATGTATATTAATGTGCACGTAACATTTCATGTACATGATATCATATAATAAAAAAAATGCAACAAAAAAAAAAATCAATCAAGAGAAGAGAAATCTTGATGGGATAAAATGCACATGAAACAGAATCATGCACATGAATACGCATTAATGTGTATGATTCTGCAATCATGTGCATGCATAAAACCTATCTCTATCTCTAATGTGTTGGTTATATGTGATTGTGGTTTTTAGATTTTTTGCACTGTAGCTAGATGTTGTGTTCAAGTTAGAGGTCAAACTGATTAACTTTAAATTTAGATTAGATATAAACCAGATTTATTAGATAATTTATATTATAAATCAAAACATATTTAAATGAAACATGCATGCTATATATGTAAGGTTTCAGAGTAAATAATAATACATAACAATAATAATTGTTATGTTCTAGTTGAGAAATACCAAAAAAAAAAATACTTGTGTCTTGGGTTAGTTCTTGAATACATAAAAAGTATGTAATCATCAGTGAGTTAAATGTTTGTATGAATGATTAATGATGTAATTTTGACATAATTAATATAATCAATTAGAGTCAAATTTTATATAAAGAATAAGAAAATAAAAAATTAATTGTTTTTTTCATTTTTCAAAAAATACACTGCTAAAAGGTCAATTAAATGCTTATTTTCATATTGAAGTATTGGCAATCTCTTAAGATCATAACTTGCATTAGTGGTTAGTATTAATAAACATCATGATTATCCATTTATTATACATATTGCATTAACAAATAATGCATATTTTAATGTTAGCATTAGTATAATTAGGTTCTAAAACCTACTATCACTATTGAATAATGAATTAAGTAATTTGTTATATACCTCATCATTTAATGATAGACTTAACTGATTAGTAATCGTAAGAAATACAGTTTCAGAATGGTATAATAATAATATTATTAGGGAAAAAATATATGTAAAAAAATGAACTTATCAGATAAAAGCCAGAATGATTGAGCTGGAGTATTATACAAGAGTATATGTACAAATCTAATAATAAAAATTTGAATCCAAAAACTTATTATTTCACTTATTCTGGTATCTAATACTAAATAAAGATTAGATGATTAGTGATAGTAAAATTCTTATAACATAAAATTTATAATAATGACACTTATAGAATAGTGTAAGTAAAAAAAAAAGAGTGATAATTACATTTTCGCTAACTAATTCTTATAAAAATATATATATAAAGAAGCACAATTCGAATTGCATATTAATGAATTGTATTCATTATGAATAAAATAAAAAAACGTAAAGAAAATTCTGATGCCAATATAAAGAAGAGAATATCTCTGACTAGTGTACAAAAAAAGGAATTATGTGAAAAAAAACATAGTAATCCTAATTTAAAAGATGTAAAATTAGCTAAGGAGTATAAAATAAGTATGCAATCAGTATCTGATATTCTCAAACATTCTGAATACTGGTTAAGTCTCGATAATACTTCAATTATAATTCAAGCTAAACATCAAAGAAAGCCTGATAATCCTGAACTCGAAGAGGCAATGTCTATTTGGGTTGAACAAGCAATAAAAAATGAACTTACATTTTCAGGCCATCTTCTTCAAACCAAAGCTAAGGAATTTACTAATTGATTTGAAATTACTAAATTTAATACATTCGACGGTTGGCTTGCTAACTTTAAAAAAAGAAATCAGATTTCTTTGTATCAATATAGAGGGAAAGCCGGTAGTATACCTTTAGAAGATGTTTTATAATTTTGTATAGAACTTCAAGATATTCTTCAAAATTATGAACCTAGAGACATTTTAATTGTGATGAAACAGCACTTTTTTGAAAACTTAAGCCAAGCAAAATACTTGTGTATAGTTTAGTTTTAGAGAAAAAAAATTAAAGGATAGAGTTACAGTTATGATTACTTGTAATTCTATAGGTAATAAAAAATTATCACTTTTTTTTATTTACAAATACAAAACCCCACATGTATTTCATGATATTGAAAAATCTACCCTTCTAGTCTGGTATTACTGGAATAAGAAAGAGTGAATGCAAAGAAGCATATTTAATTATTTTTTAGAATGATTTAATAGTCAAATGAGGCTTGTTCAATGAAACATTATTTTACTTCTTGATAATGCTTCATTACATAATTTGAAAAATGTTCAAGACTTATCAAATATTCACATACATTTTTTGCTATCAAATACAACATCTTATCTTCAACCTATTGATTAAGGAATCAGTTATAACCTCAAGGTAATTTTGAAATAATTTAATTCAATAAATAGTTATATTTTATTGGACAATTTTAATATTCACTGGAGATAAAATTTACTGGATAAGCTACATTACAATAATGACTTTAATAATCAACATTTGGTATACTAAATATAAATGTTCAACATTCTAAAAAACCTTAACCTCTATTTTAATATAAGTCTTAAAACTCTAACTTTAAAATTTATATTATGCCGAATTTCACCTCTAGTAATTGTAAATAAATTTATATTTATTTATTTTCTTGTAGGCATAATATTGGCATATTTTCTGTCAGAACCATCTTGAAACTTATAATGTGATTACTGAAGACAATCCAGTTCCTCCTGATGTTATATTATATAATTGCATTAATTTTATGACTCAAGCATAGGAAAATGTTACTACAAGTACAATTATTTGTAGCTGAAATAGAGCCGATATACTTCTATTTGCAGAAAATTTGAATGATAGTTCTATCTCTGTGTTTGAAAAAACTGAATTAGAAGATTTTGTGTCTGAAAAGACTGAATTGGAAGTTGAAATTATAAATCTTATTGAACATTTACTGATTAATGATTCTTTGAATATACAAGAATATATCAAGATTGATAATTACATGAATATTGAAGAAGACTTGACTGTGAATGATATTGTCAATATAGTAAATGGACAAGATGAGAGTGAATCAGAAAAAGAACATGAAGAAATAGTTAAAATTGGTGATGCAATTATAGAGTTTGATAACTTGATAAAATATATTCAACAAAATAATCTAGAAATTACTTCATCTTTAATAAAAAAGTTGTGTAGTCTTAAAAAATATATCATTTATTTGCGTAATGAAAGTAAGAGACAAGCTATGTTAGAAGAATTTATTAGCCTTACGGTTTAGATACTTTTATTTTATTTTTTCAATGGTAATATTGTTATTATAAATATAAAATGCAGTTATAAGTTTATTAAATATAACGAATTTTATATGAAATAAAATATACTAGCATTCTATTTTGTGGTACGAAAAATATATCTTGAATTCTTTTATTTAGATATTTTTAACTCATTTATAATAACAATATTTCAATGCTGTGAATTGATTCTACTTATACTGACAGCCTTTGAGTAATTCTTAAGTATAAAAATAATCGTTTTAGATAATTATCCTGGTTAAATTCAAATTTTAGTTAAAAACAATTCAGAGCTAATAAATCTGATTCCACTATTATGAATTTTATATTTATCTATAATCATAACTGTATTAGTATTATTAATTATATCAATAACGATGTTTTAAAACATAAAAAAATCATTTTAAAGCAATATAGGATTGATTTAAAAAATTCTTGTTTAAATCATTTGCAATCTCTATTAACATTTTGCTGATCCCATTTACTCTATATATTATTACTAATCGCTAACATGATAACTTACAATTAAACATTGCATGCATAATGATAAGAGGTCAACGGATCTAAAAGACGGCCAAGCAGTAATGTGCTAATGAGCCAATGATCACCAGTTTCAACAAGAAAACTGGTACAGGCAAAGGTAAAATTTAATGAACTACCAATTCGGACTTATGGCATGATAATAACAGACAGATATATAAACAGAGGACCAGTAGGGAGGCCTAACAACAGCCCTTCAAAGGCGAAGCAAATTCACATCCTCCCTTCCTCAGTAGAATCCTGTTATTTTTGCAAATCCTTCAGATTTACAGCTGGCTTGCAAAGCTTCTGGCTAACAGCTGGTCCACTTTGTGCAGGTGAAAAACCACCAGCTAATGCCAATTCGTAATTACACTGATGTATGCTATAAATCTCTATATATCTTTATAAATCAATTTAATAAAGTTTTAGTATCCAGCGCTATTTGTGTTAATTTACCCTGAAATAAATTATACGTATATGCACTTTGTAACCATCAAACTTACCACTCCCATAATAGCATCACAAAATCGATTGATGAAAATTTTCAAAATTTGTATTTGTTAACGTTAAGTTTTAAAGGTCATCAAAATTTTTAAATATTATTTATTGTGTATGTAAAAATAAGTATATAAGCAAGACCATTTCGCTCTTAATAAAGATAACTCAATTAGAGTTCAGAGTCGATTAGGTGCTTATCTCTAGTAATCCCTCCTCGCTAAATACTCTGAATTAGTAATGTTAGTTTATAAATCGATCTTATTTAGAAATTTGTGACGTAATATAGAGCCTTATTAAACCTAGTAACTCGGACCAAATCTTCCACGTAGTTTACTGCTACTAGGTCCAGTAAATCATTTTAAGAAAAAAGTTCGTGATGATGTCCAAACAAAAGTACTTATCACTAGTAAAATATAAATTAGCTTGCTGTATTTTTGAAGTTTAAAAAATATT